ATTTGGTACCCGCAGATGTATTTGCCATTATTGCCGCCTGCCTGTCAAAAAAATAGTTTTGGTTTGTTTTGCTGAAGTGTTTAAATGTACGTACACCCAGAAAGCCCAGCGACATCGGGCCAGGCAATGCGAAGCTTCAGGTGGTTTCATTGAAAAAAGCAAGGCCTCGGATAAAAATTTACCAAAAAAGTTATATTCAATGAAAAACGGCTAAAATATGTGATAGATCTGCCTAAATGGATTTTTCGTTAGTGAAAATAAATTTGTGTTAGTTACACCGACATGACTCTGACATGACTTTGAATAACTCAACTGTGTGTAGTCGAAAGGCGGGTCAACACGTACACAGATGATTCGCGAGTCAGACGCATCGTGTATGGCGCCCATAAAATGCTCACTATAATACAACACAGGTTAGGTTAGGTTGTCGCGGTCGTCTATAAGACACACTTAGGCTCAGGGCCCATTGTGATGCCGCATGTTGGGTCAGCAACTCCCGATCCCTCCTAAAACCATTTTGAACTTTGAACGAATTTTAGAAGATCCCTGATTTCGACGCATCTAAGGTCCTCCAAGTTGTCGAAGAATTGCCTACCGAGAGTGGAGAGTCTTCGTCTAGATAGAGCAGGGCATTGGCACAACAGGTGGAGAATCGTTTCCTCCTCTTCTTCATCTTGACAGCTTCTACAGAAGTCATGTGAGCGTAGGCCGAGTCGATCGGCGTGCTTGCCAATTAGGCAGTGTCCTGTTATGACGGATACTAGTAATCTAATATTGGACTTATTTAGACTCAGTAGTAGACCAGTGCGGTTGGCGCTGAGCACCGGCCATAATTGTTTGGCAGTTTTGCAGGTGATTTCGTCCTGCCACCTTTCGTTCGCTACTTTAGTGAGCCTCTCGGAGATAAGTAGCTTACAGGTTTGCAAGGGTATTCCTATTTCGTCATTTATATCCTCAAAAGGAAGTTTCGTGCCAAGTCGCGCCAGTTCGTCGGCCTTACAATTCCCCTCTATGCCGCAGTGTCCCGGAACCCATATTACCTTTGGGCGAAATGACTCAGCCATCTCGTTAAGAGATGCGCGGCATTTCATGGCTACCATGGAGGTTGTCGACTGCTTCGTGAGGGACTTTATTGCCGCCTGGCTGTCAGTGAAGATGTAGATATCAACTTGGGGTATCATATCACACTTTACCAGTTTCGTGGCCCTGTCGATTGCCATCAGTTCAGCCTGAAAAACGCTACAGTGGTCCGGGAGACGAAAGCTGAGGGAGATTCCCAGGTGATGGGAATATACACCTCCTCCAACCCTACCCTCGAGCTTTGAGCCATCTGTGTATACATGGATGGACTCTCCACTACTTACAGCGTCATGCTTCCACTCTTCCCTTGAGGGTAGGAGGGTCGCGAACGCTGTAGCGGGTGCAGGTTCCGGAAGTGCATAGTCCACCAATCCGGGTAGCCCCGGAACTTCCGTTAATATTCTACCGTGACCATAACTGGTATTTGACCACTTATTTAGAGTATTCATTCGAATTGCCGCGCCACTTGCGACTTGTTTGGCATGTAGGTCCACCGGAAGAAACTTCAGTAGGGCATACAGTGCCTTGGATGGTGTTGTTCTCATCGCACCAGTTATGAGTGTGGACGCAAGCCTTTGAACCTTGTCCATTTTTTTGAAGTTTACCCCTTTCCCAAGGGCGTTCCACCATACCACTATACCGTGATAGAGAATTGGCCTAACCACCGCCGTGTATAGCCAGTGTATTATTTTGGGTTCCATCCCCCATTTTTTCCCTATTGCTCTGCTGCAGGAATATAGTGCCACTGTTGCTTTGCGCACTCTATCTGCAACGTTGGGCCCCCAGTTTAGTTTCCTATCTACTATGAGACCTAGATATTTGGTCTCTTCCTTTATTGCGAGGGTATTGCCCTCTAGGGTTATGTTCCCGAGATCAGGTATCTTGTGCTTCCTGGTGAACAGCACAAGGTCTGTTTTTTCAGGATTCACTCCCAGTCCTCGCCTGTTACACCACAGGGATAGTTTGTTGAGGGATCTTTGGATCAGATCTGTCAATGTTGAAAGATGTTTACCCGAGATAGCTATTACAATATCGTCGGCGTATGCAATTATCTGACCGCCAATGTCTTCAAGTTCCCGAAGAAGGCTGTCTACTGCTATATTCCACAGGAGCGGTGATACTACTCCCCCCTGGGGTGTACCCCTGACGGGGAACCTTTTTATAACTGATTCACCTAATCCTGCGCTTATTTCTCGGCCGATTAACATTCGTTCAATAAATGAGGTTAGTGAATTGCTTACTCCCAGATTTATCAGAGATGAGATAATCGCTGCAGGAGATACATTGTTGAAAGCACCCTCGATGTCCAGGAAGGCCGCGAGGGTGTATTCTTTGTAATAAAGTGATCTTTCAATTGTGTGCACTAAAGAATGGAGTGCTGTTTCGACTGATCGCCCTTTGTTGTAGGCATGCTGGGCTGCCGAAAGTTTGCTGCCCACCTTGTCTCTAATGTGCCCATCTATTATTCTCTCTAGAGATTTCAACAGGAAAGACGACAGACTAATTGGTCTGAAGTCTTTTGGTCTCGTGTGTGTAGTTTTCCCTGCCTTGGGAATGAAAACTACTCTTACCTCCTCCCATTTGTGGGGTATATAATTCATTCGTAACACTGCTTCAAAGACTGGTACGAGTATGGGTGCAATCATTCCTGCTGTATGCTGTAGGTCAGCGGGAATAATGCCGTCTGGTCCCGGAGATTTAAACGGTTGGAAGCTGCTAATAGCATGCTTTATGTTCTCCTCGGTTATGAAATTCGCTGGAATGTCATCATGGTTGCCTATGATTCGGGTATTTGTGACTCTACTGTGGAGGCAACCCGGAAAGTGCGTCTGTACAAGAAGCTCTAGAGTTTCTTCGCTGCTAGTTGTCCAATCACCATCCTCCTTGATGAGATAGCTAATATTGCTGGGACTCATAGATAGTATTTTGCGCAGTCTGCTGGCCTCCGAAGTACTTTCTATCTTCTGACAGAAGTTCCTCCATGAGGAGCGCTTAGCGTCTCTTATTGCATACTTAAATCGGCGTTGGCAATCTTTAAATTCACTCCAAGAGTTGGATCTCTTAGCTTCATTAAATTTTGATCTGCATTCCCTTCTGAGGGTTGCAATTTCAGTGGACCACCATGGAGGTTTTGGTTTCCTACTTGTTGCCCTGATTGGGCAGGCTGATTTTGCTGCACGATGAAATGCTTTAGTTATATCGTCTACGACGTTATCAAGTTGATGTTCCGAGTTTATTTGATTTGTGAGGCCGGAAATATTATTAGAAAATATTGTTTCAAATTTTTTCCAATTTGTTTTTCTGCGGTTTAAGACCGCTTGTTGTTTTCTTACTGGTACGTATAGGTTATAAACGACGTACATGTGATCCGAAAAGGAGTTGTCTTTTGAGACTCTCCAGTCATTCAAGAGTTCTGCCCCCTGCTAATTGACACATGTAATGTCAAGGACCTCCCTTCTAACAGACGTCACAAAGGTAGGGGTATCACCTACGTTGCTAACCTGTAAGTTATTGCACATAATGAATTCGAATATCGACTCACCGCGTTCATTTGTATCTGAGCTGCCCCATATGTGATGATGGGCATTCGCGTCCGCTCCTATGACCATCGGAGTGCCGCGTCTAGAGGCCTCCATTACCGCGCTCCTTAAGGATTGTGGTGGAGGTAATGTTTCTGCGTCGTGGGCCATATATGTGGAAGCCAGCCAAATAGACATTCCGCCTGATTCCACTGCTATGATGACGTTGTCCGCATCGCTAAACTGTATCAAGAGAAATGCATTAATACACTTTTTTATCAATATGCACGACCTGGGTTTACCTTTGTCAGTTACATAGAACAGCTTGTATCCCTTCATATTCAATCCACAAACCCGATCTTTTATGACCCAAGGCTCCTGGATGAGTGCGATCTCCTCTTCTCTTTCGGCGAGACGGAGGAGAAGTGCGGCTGAGGCCGCCTTGCAGTGGTGGAGATTAATCTGAACTATCCCCACCATCTGTTTCGCGTGCTGCTGCTGGACAGCCAACCACAGTCCGGTTGACGTCCTCTTCGTCAGAAAGGGGGAGGATATCCTCCCCTTCTCCTTCCACCATGGTGTCGGAAAAGTCGGAGTGGTCCCCCGCCCCCTCTTCTAGAGTCACCCTCTCGAAGAGTTCGCCGACCATTCCGGAGGTGGATGCCACTTCGTCGTCAGTAGCACTTTCCACTGCGCTCGCTTCGTCGGTAGGGTGTTGTTTCCCTACACGTCCTGCCGATAAACATGGAGGTTCAAGGCTTGGAAGCCATAATTTATCATCCAGTTTTGGTTGGCTAGCGGTTCTACTGATTCCTCGTTGAGGACTATTACCGCTAACCTTCGCTTGCCATCGATATCGCCTATCTTTGCTACCTTCCAGTCGTGGGTGGGTAGCTCGGGGTTGCCCATACGTATCCATTCCAGCACTTCCTGTGGGTCGGTGTGGAAGTCTGGAATCCAGGCCCTGGATCTGGGCCGATTGGGAATGTCTTCCCGCTTTATCGCCTCAAGCCGTGCACCCGGCCAGGCCTCGCCTACGCGACTGATGGCCAGGGTGTATAGGTCGACGGATCTCTGGTCCGCGCACCTTGTTAATTTGACGCGGTTTTGGAACCAACCGGCGTCCGCACAACTGGGGGGTGGTCCTGGGTTTTCCCCTAGAACCTCCTTATAGACGGCCCAGAGTCGCCTGTTGACCAGGTCCCAGTTTTGTGGTGATATTGCACCATCAAGTGAGCTGCGGTCTATCACAGCCCTGGTAAATGTGTCCTTCGCCGCGTCCGCGAAGGA